CTTTCATCCTTTCAGCATGGCTCTTACACCTTAGGAAGTAGAAAGTAGAAGGGGTTGGAGAATGGAAACAGAAAGCTGGATGGAGAAAAGGCCATGCAAAATTGGTTGAGTCGAGGGCTGAGGCCCTAGGCAGGGGAGATCCCTACATTGGGTCTCAGTCTCCGTCTCCTAAGCCCCCCCACGACAACAACGGATTGGGGGGTTCTTATGTGGGGGAGGAAGAGGAGACTGGTGTCTAAGGAATAAAGGTAAAGGTAGGTGGAGGTGAGTGTGCGGTAGGGGAAGAAGGGGGGGAATGTTTAGTCTATCTGCTGCAGATAGTGCAGGGTGGGAGAGGGGAAGGTGTTGAGGCTGTAGTTGAGATTGGAGTGTCTGGGTTTAGAGTGGCAAAAGAATTTGAATGGGGGAGGTAGAATGTAGAAGTGGAAGTGGGTAAGTTGTTGAGGTTGTTTTAGTTACTACTCTGATTAGCTCACTTTCATTTATTTGTGATTGTTTTCTGATTTTCTTTAATGTGCTCTTTATAGGTTTTACCTTAGTTTTCCTTCTCTCCACAGTCCTCATTTTAAGATTTATTCACTCATATTTTGAAATGATAAGAGCTTGTAGATTATTATTTTGGCTTCAAACTATCATTACCCACTAGGTAAACAATACATAGGAGGAGTTATGTGTTGAGGAAACCTAGAAATTTTGGCATTTCTTCTTTTCAGGCTCTCTCACACTTGAGTGTAAAATATCTTTATTTTTCATTTACAATGAAGTACATATAATAAGAGTTTCATAGATTCAAACTCTCTCACAATTCATTGTAAATAACTTTATTATTTTTCATTTGCAGTGGAAGTTTATAAAAGATGTGTCTTAAAATAATTTTCTCTGTCATTTCCATGTATTATTTGCTTTATAAGAGATGGGTCATTGAAACTTCACCAAAACCTAAATCTCCCTCTATATGTGCTTGAAATTAATTCTGAGGTCCATTCTAAATATTTACACTAGAACGACCCAGACCAGTTACTTTTGAAACCATTTGGAAAAAAAACTGCGAATGGTGAAATGGTAAAATGATAAAATTTTATACCACTATCCTAGCATTTCACAACTTTATAACAATTAACTGATAGCAAGTCAAAAGCCCTTTCTCGGAATGCTGATGGTATGGAGGTCACAATTCTTCAAGATATTTGTGTTCTTTGGTCGCTATGCTTCTTTCCTTTGTTCCACTTCTTAACAAGACCTGGAAGGCAACTTTACACATGTGTGCTACTTGTTTGAACAACAGATGTGCATGCCTGCACAGCATGACTGAAAGAGGCTACACAAGTTAGGACATCAATTACCCATGGAAGAAATTCCGCATACGATGCAAAGTTATCAGTCTGGAGAATGAGAACAACTCACTTTATTCAACTTTAATTCTATTAACTCATCTTATCAAACCTATTGCAATAAAATGTGGTAATTTTTTCTAACCGTTCTGCCAAACAGATCACACTGATATTGGTATTCTTGAATTTCTCTCACCATCTACAATACAAATATGTAGGTTTTATTGTTCAGAAACCTCCCTCCCCCATTAGTGACAAGTTTGGCCCTGATAGCAGCAGAGAGCATGAAAGGTACCAGAGAAATTGTGGGGCAAAATATGAGTAATATACAAAGAATCTGTCGCTGTATTGTCTAATGCAGGGGGCTGTGCCCCTGCGACCTCCACAGGGGAGGCTGTCGCCCTCCAGCCTCCATTCAGGAAAAACAAAGAAACATCTAGGAATTCATGGCAGGAGAAAGCATTGGTCAGACTTGGAAACAGCACTCCCACATCGCAGCTGTATGGTCTTTCCTGCCATGAATATGTAGAGGATTCTTTGTTTTTCTTGGGGTTGGGGGGTGGCAGCACCCCATGTGGGGGGACAGCCCCCTGCATTAGACAATAAAATTACTAATTCTGTGTTTATCATTCATATTTATCCTGTCATGCCCTCCCCTTTTATCAGGGCCAAGACTGGAGATTTGTGGGGTTTTCTTGCAATAATTTCTATATCTTTGGAAACTAGAGAATGAAAAGTATCCAACGATACCAAAATCATAACTATCTGTTTGCCAAAACTCTTACTAAAAGTCTTATATCTATTCATTCAGTTGCTTGCATTTTATTTTTATTTATTAATATATTTTTGAAGATGGCTTGTTGAAACTTAGCCATTACTGCCAACTCTTGCCAGAAAATACAAGTTGGAGTTGGTTTGCCTTTGCCAGTGCACACTGGCAATGGTATCCCAGTTAGAAAATATGTTAATTTTTGCGGACACATTGTAGCAAGCGATATGTAAGGGCTGCAACCTGCAAGCAAAGGACATTTATGGTGTGAACAACAGTGATAGTTTTTCATCAAAGCAATAGACTTACAGGCAGTGAGAGGCAAATGACATGAGGTTTTGTTTAATTTTTTGGCATGTACAATCTGGATTATTTGTTTGCCTTTTCTGAACGGAACAAT